TCCCTCAGCTCTTCAGCTCAAGGCGAGCGCTCTACCACTTGAGCTACAGCGCCACTTCCGGTTTTCTGGTGGTTTATTAGAGATAGGAGTCTCACAGTTTCTCCTGCCCGGGCTGGCTTTGAACCTCGATCCTCAGATCTCAGCCTCCTGAGTAGCTAGGATTACACCTTTCTTAACTTTTCCAGCCCTGTACCCTGGGGATCCCTGGCTGGTTAACACTGTGGTTCCAAGGGTGGACACAGGGCCACCTGCTGGTGGCCTCTGGAACTGCACTGCTGTCCCAGAATTTGGAGCAGAATAAGCAATGGTTTTAACCCCTCTGAGAGAACTCTGTAGGCACCATAGGCACCAAAGGGCATTCCCAGAACTGCTGCACATGTCAGAGGCTTTAGTCCACTTGTCCCATCTTTATTTCCTTAGCACACATTAGCTGTACAAGGACGGTTTCGTTGTGCCATTTCCACCCATGTCCTTCCCCGTCTAGCTTCTTCCCTTCAGACAGCTCACAGGCTGTCTCCTTGCCTCTCATGGAGGCCATTCCTCTCCCCAGGAAGCCTTTGGTCCACACATTCTGGGCATCAGGGATTGTTTCCCGGGAACCTTCCCTGATTAGGGACTCGCTGTCCTCACTTCATGCATCCCTCCATTACAGAGCAGACAGCTTGTGTGGCTGTCCGCTCTGCAGGTGGGCCTGATGTGGGCAGGGTAATCAGATTTGTGGATGCCTAATGCAGTGATGCTCAGTCCATGACAGCTGCAGGAAGCAAGTTCCCACAAACAAGATGCCAGGGGTCCAGACTGAGTCTTCTGTCTCTGACCCAGAATTCCATGATGTGCAAGTAATGAGAAGTAGATTTTAGGCAGGCAATCACCAAACAACTGATCCTGAAACGGATCCCCACGGACACCAGCTGGTCTGTTGAATGGGGTTCCCCAGGCTTCCCTACTTCCAACCTAGACAGCACACAGGGCCTGTCTTCTTCCCTCCTTGGTAGATGGCCCATGTCCAGAATGGGACAAGCTGTGTCCCTACAGCTTCACACAGGGCAGGGGCTGAGCTACGTCATCCAGAGCTGGACAGGGACAAGGGGCAAAGGACGCTCCTCCCGTGCTGCTGCTTCTTTGGGTGCTCATCTTTGAGAGGCCACTAGAGGGTGCCAGTTAAGCCAGATGCACCTCCTTCACCCCAGATAAGAAACGCAGCCAGTCCTGCTCGCCCTTGATGGGGTCCCTGCAGGTCTGTCCCGCGGAGGCTTACGATGTCAGCGCTCATTTCATTCTGCAATGAAAATTCTCAAGCCAAAAAATGATGGCATAATTCTTCACTGGGAAGAAATCTCTTTCATCTAAACTACAAAATAACATCTTAAGTGTACTTCTAGTAAGTTGCCTATCTCTTTATTTAACAATAAAGTAAAAAAAAAAAAAACGGAAACAAACAAACCAACAAAAAAACCCAACTACATTGCCAAGCACCAGTGGCTCACGCCTGTAGTCCTAGCTACTACAGGTGGCTGAGATCTCAGAATTTTGTTTTGAAACCAGCCCAGGAAAGAGAAATTAACCACCAAAGAGTCCTAAGTGACAAAGGTAGCAACGGTACTCACAAGACACTATTGAAAAAGAAACAACTTGTGGGTGGGGATGGGAGAGAAAAACTGGGAAGAGGCCATAGAGATGTACTCATTACCTGACTTAGGTAACTTTACCCCGGCGTATCATCTTTATTAAAAAAAAAAAAAAAAAAAAAGCAGTAAGTGGGGCTGTGGCTCAAATGGTAGCCCTAGTCTTGAGCAACAAAACTCAGGGATAGCGCTCAGGCCGAGTTCAAGCCCCAGCCAAGACCAATACCACTCACGCCACATCCTTAGCAGCTCTCTCAAGGGTTTGTTTTTTTTTTTTTGCTGGTCATGGAGCTTGAACTCTGGGCCTGGGCACTATTCTGAGCTCTTCAGCTCAAGGCTAGTGTTCTACCACTTGAGCCACAGCACCCACTTCCAGCTTTTTCTGTGTATGTGGTACTGAGGAATCGAACCCAGGGCCTCATGCATGCAAGGCAAGCACTCTACCACTGAGCCATCTTCCTAGCCCCTAACTCAAGGGGTTTTGTTGGAGTGCTGTGATTACAGGTGTGACCCCATGCTGGCTTCCACACAGCACGCTCACTGAGATGAGATTCTAGTACATGGAATCTGTCCACGCCCGCCGCGCTCTGGCACAAATCCCTGCAAGCTGAGCAGCTTTCACTCCTTTTGCTCCTGTGCCAGGAGCCATAGCACCAGTGCATGCAGAATGGCAATGCATGCTCATTCCAGCAGCGATGCCGTAAGGTTTGGTCTCCCCTGAGAAGGCCCTGCTCCACCTCCTGCGGAAGGGCAGCGAGAACCATGCACGCCATTGCTATTTGAGGCCTCAGCCTGTGGGTTACAGTCTTGAATTCATCTCCACATTTCTCAGGGGCCATCTTTATTTGTGGTAGTAAGATGGGGACAGAGCACCACCTCCCAAGGCCATGCTTCTGACAAACGTTCCCGATGGATGGCAGTGATGGTGGCGAGGGACTCAACACTGCACCCAAATGACAAAAGTTACGTTTAATTTACAATGTAATAAAGGTTACAGGTAAAAAGCTACACAGAAAGCGTGAAAAGGCCTATTACACAAATGTACAAATCTCTGTACAAAGCTCCTCCCTTGGTCTCTTGTGTTAGCCAGTGCTGCTCCTGAAGCTCTGAGCGAGCAGAGCTCGCCACCCAGGGGGAAGAGCCTCCTCCAACAGCTAAAACGTCCTCTTAAGAGAAACCAGTTCCTTACAAAGTAAAATCTTCTCTTTTTAAATTTGATCTGCCCCAACCCGTCACAGCCTTTAAAACTGCCTTCATACCACACTCAAAAAGCAAAATAACGCCTTAGAGTAGAGGACAGTACTCTGGAATTAAATTAAAAAAAAAATTAGGCAAGTGGAGTGCTTCAGGTTGGACAAGAAAAACAGGTAAAGGTCAAACAATACTGTAGGTTAAAAAGCCTAAACCTGTGCCAGGGCACTGATAACAGACGAAGGGAAATCAAAATGTTCTTACTCCAACAGAAAGGACAAAAGAGAAAAGCCTATTGGACCTCAAAACCACCAACCCAAGAAAACACTTTCGAGTTTAAACCTTAGCTTAACTGATCAACCTGAAATCCATGACAACTCCTTTGCTACCTGGGACTTTCGAGGCCACGTCACCTCCCCAGGTCTGGATTCCATCTAAAGGCATGTGAATCACCCTAGGGAGAAGGAGAGGAGGGGTAGGAAGAGCCAGGGCAGTCTACTTAAAAGTACCCACAAATCCTCTGTCTACACTAAAGCGTTCTCAAGACAGGTGTTTGTGGGCTAGTCCAGCCCCACCTGCGGGCTCAGTATTACATGGTTTAGGACCCCAGGAGACATTCTCAAAGACGATACTGCACACGTGGAAATTTTCCTCCCTAGTTCATTAGTTCTGTCACCCTTCCACCCCATTCCCACCCAATCAATCCCCCACTTCTCCATGACCAAAAATATCAAATCAGTAAGGAAGGGGTGGGCTTCTTGCCCGGCCACGCCTCTTTTGCATATTTCTTCTTCTTGGGTTCGTTTACAGCTTCAGGATTATAGACAGCAGGGTTTGGTGTGGGGTTCATGTTCACTGCTGACGGCACAACAGGAGTCAAGTCCACATCAGGGGCAAGGTTCGGGTATGGCATAGGCAAGCCACCGATGAGCGCCGTTCCATGGATGCCGTGTGGCTGGGAGCCTGCTTCGCTGTGCGTGGGGGGCAAGCCCCCATAGAGTCCTCCGCTGAAGGCAAAGTTCTGCATGCGTCTGCTGCCTGACTCCTCCAGGCCCAGGGAGCCATGGCCCTCCACCCGCTTCTTCT